CCCCGGCGTGGACTGACTCCGGCGCCTGCCTGCAGTCAGCTCTCCAGCAGGTTCAAGCGAGCTCGGGAGCACTCTGATCACACTTTTCCTAATCAGAAATTAGTTAGGCATTTTTCCGAATTGATGGCGGCAGAAATGGTATCTGCCTCCCTGTAACAGGAAGTTTACCAGGGGCGGAGCCCAGGGTGCGGAGCCCAGGGTGCGGTGGAGTGATAATCTGCCCGGCCCGCTCTTCCCTGACCTCCTGATGCTGGCCGGTTCTCCCCCCGCCTCTAGCCCCGCCAGAGAACCGCAGGGGAATGGGATGAGAGGCCAGCCCGCAGGCCCCGGGAGGCCCCGTGCTGGGGCAAGGAAGTGGGAAGGCTCAGTGAGGAGCCGAGCCAGGTGAGGAGGGCAGGCCTGGCCGAGCCGGCCTGCTCGAGCCCCACCTGAGAAAATGGAGGCAGCTCCGGGCTGGTGACTGGCCCAGTGGGGTAGGCGGAAGCCGGACGGGCGTCTGCCCCACAAGCAGGGCCGGGCTGGGGGTCACTCACAGAGCTGAGCCTGCCGAGCGGCTCCCTCTCCGTTTCCGTGTTGTTGCCATCTCAGTTCTCAGCCACTGCTGCCTCAGGCTGCTCACTCGGTCCTGCAGTGCGTCTCGGGCGCTCTCAGGAATCCTCTTTGGTTGTCGCCGTCTCAGTTCTCAGCCGCTGCTGCCTCGGGCTGCTCACTCAGTCCCGCAGTGCATCTCGGGCGCTCCCAGGAATACTCTTTTATGCCAGCCCTAAACCTCGAGTCTGTAGTTGCTTTTTTATAGTTGTAGATTAGTTGATCAAAGACTTATTCATTTTTTGTTGCTCTTGTAAATGCAAGTAGCACTCTGGCAGCACAGCTCACACCTCTCAGGCTCACGCCCTCTTCTGGCGCCCCGGCTCCTGACCCGTCGCCACCTTGACTCCTGTTTTTTTTTTTTAAATGCCTTCCCTCAGCCGCATCTTCCAACTCTGAGGAGCTCAGACCCTCTCGAATCTGGAAATGCAGGCCTAAAGAAACACTCGCTGGTGGAAGATCCACCAACACACCCGCTGCAGGGTCAGAACGTTCCAACCAAGCCCAGTGAGCTGCACTCCTGGCTTGGCTTTTAAAAATCTTAAATACACTTCTCCGTGGAGCCTTCTGACTCACATCCTACCACAGTGAAGGGATTTAGAGTCTTTATACTATGATGTGAAGACATTCATTTATTTCTATGTGTTGGCATCATGATATCCACTGCTATGCTAGAACATCATGATCAAAAGAAGCTCAGAGATTACTCTGAGACTTATGTCTCATGCCAAAATGATATCTCTGGATCAACGCTCTTTTTATTTTTAATTTTAATTTTTATTTGTTAGCCAATACAGAGATTAAACCCCGGATCCTGGTGTTATCATCACCATGGTCTTGCCAACTGAGCTAACTGGCCAGCTCTGAATCAACTCTTTCTTCCTGATCAACACATACCCCATCTTCACCCTACCTGCAGTGGCTCTAGGAATTTATGGAACTGCCTATAAAATATGATCACCAAATCATTGATTATGCCTTCACTATAATTAGTTTATTATGGGATGCTACAGTCCCTCTGTAGAATTACTAGAGGACCGTTCAATTTGTGTAATATGAAGTGCTTTCTCTAAAGGAAATTTAAGATCTATGTTTATTAAGTTTGGAAGACAGTAAACTAAGAAGGATTGAGTGTAGCCAATTGATGTTTTAAATTCCTGGAAATTTCCCTCTGAAACTGCCAAATTTCACTTCTGGGAACCTAAGCAGAAATTATCCGAATCAGTACTATCACATAAAAACATAATGTGAACCACATATGTAATTGTAAGTGTTTTTCTAGTAGCCACATTAAAAGAAAAACAGGTGAAATTAATTTTTTAAATATATATTTATCAAATATCTTTGTACCGACAACCTGCAAATTCACATCTCCAGCTTCAACCTCTCTCCTGAATGTCAGAGTCCTATATTACGACCCCGATTTCCAAAAGGCATCTCAAACTCAAGAGTATCCAATACAGGACTCCTGGCTTTCTCCCACACCTTCTCCTCCCACAGTCTTCCCTACCTGAGCTATCACTTGACCCCTCTCTTTCTCTCATACTTTACATCCAGTATGTCACCAATTCCTGAGAACTCTACCTTCAAAATATTTCTAGAATCCAACTGCTCTCATCACTTTTACTGCTACCACCCTGGTACAATCTGTCCCTTGCCTCAATTACTGCAGTAGCCAGCTTTCATTCTGTGGCTCTGCTGTGTATTCTCAGCACAGAAGCCTGAGTGATCCTGTAAGATGTAAGTCTGATACTGTCACTCATCTGCTCAGAATTCCCCAAAGAATTGCAGTTCCTTGCTATTCCCTCATTCCTCTCAGAATAAAGACTAAGTAAGGAAACCTATTAACAAAAGTTCACTATCCCTAAGAAATGATGTATTATAAAACTTCAAAAATTAAAATCTTATGATTCTGGTATATATATGTATGTATGCGTGTATATATATATATATATATATATATCCCAATACATCCAAAATATTTATTTCAAGATGAAATATGTATTAAAAAATTATTGCGATATTTTATATTCTTTTTTTTTGGTAGTAAGTCTTCAAAATAGTGTGTATTTTACAACACATCTCAATTCAGACTAGCCACATTTCAAGTTCTCAGTGGCCACATTTGAATATGGCTACTCTATTGAACAGTGCAAGTTCAGATGCCTGAAATATTCCCTGGAGACATAGCAGGATGGTTAATAGAAGCATTAAACTTTGAGTAAAACAAAACTGGGTTCGAATCCTGAGTGCCACCAATGTGACTTTGGGCAAATAACCTCAGTTCTCTACTGTAAAATGGGGTTAATATTTATCTTCTTGCAGCACTGTAAGGAATAAATGAGATATAATGTGGGTGAAGTATCTATTACATGGTAGATAGTCAAAAAGTGGTACTAAGTGGTTTATTTGCCTAGCATTTCAAGCAGAAATGCCCTTCTTGTTTTAGGTATTTGGATCCTTGAAGATCCCATATGTATCTCTTCCTTTATATTCAAGTAGTTCTCTCATGACTTTCCAGTAAAATTTGCAGGACAGATCTTTTTTCAAGAATCCAAGCACCTTCACTACTAGAAAAATATGCCTACCCCATTTCCAAAGGTTCCTGCCAGGAATCAAAGGTCTCATTCCACCAGAAGAAAAAAAACTCAAGGAACTGGCAAAATAAATGAAAAAAATTTCAGCAAATAATTACAAGGACTAAAAGGAAATGAGATTTGGAGAGAAAATGTCTTTGCAGAGTGGATCCAGGGCCTTGAAACAGAATGGCTTATTGCTCATTCTATGAGCAGCTTCTTGATGCCTGTCAAATGAGTTGCTCTTTAAATTCATACCTAATTCTTTTCCTTTTTCAGGATGGGTTCTTGTTAATGCTGAGCAGAACGAGTAAAAACACAAAAACATTCATTTTTGGTACATCACTTTAATTATCCATGAAAACTCAGGTGTATCTAATAGCCCTTACTATGAACTTAATAATGTAGCCACAACCTCCAGTGGATCTCACTGTCAGGAGCTGTAGGCCAAAAAATCAGCTTAATGAAAGAAATAGCTAATAAAACCTGAACTGCTACCTAATTTGTTTCCTCCCTTCCCTTTCTATCACAGTGCATTCAGCATTTCATCTCTACTAGATGCACAGTACTTAAAAATTAGAAAACATCATTAAAAATTTAATGAGAGTTCAGAAAGAGTACTGTCTCCTAAGCAGTTATTGGAGTTCCATTTTCAGATACAGCTGCCTTAAACGGCAACAATATTTAGGATGTTTAGCAGCAATCCTGGCCTCTACTCACTAGATACCCACAGCACCTCCCACCTATGCCTCTGCCCCCAGTAATGACAACAAAACTGTCTCCAGACATTGCCAAATATCCCCTGCTGTATGTCATCAAAAATCTCTAAGGCAGGAGATGTCAGAATTTGGCCAGCCACATAGGTTTTATTGGCATGCAAATAAATGTTATATAAAGCCCATGTTTTCCTTAGATGTTGTTAGGCATTCCAAGTATTTATCAGTGTATATTCAAAAATTAGATAATCATTGATTCTACTTTAGAATTTTAGTATTCTATTAATGAGATAAACACATTCAAAAATTGTGCTAAAAACATGTAGTTAGAAAAAGAGAATTCTCCCATACTGGATGTTGTTTGTAAGGAAAACTCACTCCCTGTTCCCAATTTTGGCCTCTAGGAAATTTAACACCAAGGTCAGATGAGTTTATTTTTAGAGAAATTCTAATTTCTGTGTATTAATAGAGATGGTAGTCACATCCTGATTTTAATAGGTTGCTCCATTACAAATGTAATTTTTTATTGCATTGCTGAATAAAATTTCAATTAAGTTGATGCACTGACTTTGATTCTAGAAAAAAAGAGATGAGAAACTAAAAAGCTCTGTTAGAGAAGAGAGCAATGAGGAGGGAGGTAACAGCTTCCAAATGAAAAACTGGAGAAATAGAAGGTAATCTCTTAATGTTATTGCAGATCTAAAATTCTTTAGTTTGTTATTTAGATGTAAAAATCATAATGTAATTTATTTTGGCAATTACTTTTACTTTAAAACTGTTTTCCAAGATGAAATACATCTAAATCATAATGTCCAAAAATACCTACATTTGTCGATCAACTTCCCCCAATTACCTTTTATGAAATGCATGAGTGAAATAGCCTCATCTGATCTTCTTTACAAAATTTCTTACATACACAAGATGTGGTGCACCAAACCACTGTGATAACATTAACAGCTAATACCAAGTGCTTACTGAAGGCCCCCGTGCTGTAGGTGCTTCACATGCGTGATCTCAGGTAAGCCTCACAATAACCCTGTGAGGTAGCTACCATTGTACAAATGAAACTGGGCTTAAAGAAGTTTAAGTAAATGGCTCATTATCATGCAGTTAGTGCACGATGACGATGGAGGTAAGTTTCAAACTTGATTTTCTGATTCCACCACCTTTGCTCTTCAGTACACTCGCATCTAGTATCTATTTGTAAAGCTGCTTAAAGAATGCATCATTCTGTGCATGTTTAGTATATTTCTTTGAAATAATTTCCCTGAAAGCTCATGTTCAAATGTTACAGCTTTTCACCTGTGGTGTTCTCAAATGTTAATATCTATATACCACCAGTTAGTCTGTCAAATAATCTTAACAACAACAAAAATAGTTTATTTATGGTAGGGTTTGAGGACATAAAAATTGCTATTAGAAGCAAATTGCATTTGTTTTTAAAGGAGCAGTCTATATTTTTTAATGTGATTACTTAAATCTACATTTTAGATGCCGTATATCCACATATAAAATATGTATTGTATTTTATGTATTTATATGTATTGTAGAAATGGGGTCATAACTAGATTTGTTAAATTGATCCCTCTCCATGTAAAATTTCATGCTTTTTTTTCCCCTTGTATGTAAATTTCTTTCTTTTTTTTAATTGTGGAAAGAACACAACATTAGACCTACCCTTTTAAAATTTTAAGTGTACAATGCAGTACTTTTTTTTTCTTTTTTTTCCCCCTCAGGTTGGAGAACTATAAACATAGAATTTTTATCTATAGGCATTGTTGTGCAGCGGATCTCTAGAACTTACTCATCTTGCATAACTGAAACTTTATACTCATTGAACATCTACTCCCCATTTCCCCCTCCCCTCAGCCTCTGGCAACTACCATTCTACTCTCTGCTTCTATGAGCTTGCCTAGTTTAGATACCTCATATAAATGAAATCATGCAGTAAGGAGCAAATTGCATTTTACGGCATAAAAACATAAATAAGAAAAAATCCCATTAGTTGAAAATCATGAGCCAAAGCTATTTATAGAAATAAAAACGAGAGATTTATACAATCTGATTTCACAACTGTTTATGAAACAGCAGTATCAAGACAATATGGTATTGATGCATTGACTTGTGGATCAATAGGACAGAATAGAGTCTAGAAATAAATCCAGATATAAATGGTCAATTTATTTTTGGCAAAGATGCTAAGGAATTCAGTTGGAAATTCTCTTAAACAAATGGTGCTGGAACAACTGAATATCCATTTGAAAAAAGATGAACTCACTTACAGACAGAAAGCAGATCGGTGGTTGCCTGGTGACAGGGACAGAGGCTGGATTACAAAAGGGCAGGAAGAATCTTTTGGAGGTGGTGGGAATATTCTGTATCTTGATTGCTGTAGTGGTTTTGCAGGGATACACAACTGTCGAAAGTCATTGAATTCCACACTTTAAGTGGAATGCAATTTTTTACACATAAGTTATATTTCAATGAAGTTGATTTTTAAAAGTAGGTATCCAGAGATGACTAATTATATCCTTTTGTAATTTTCCATAGCAAGAAAGGGTATATGATGACCTCTTCCCCAAATTCTAGGGGTATAACTTCACAGGGGCCTACAGAGTCCTGTGAGTTATCAAAAAAAAAAAAAAAAAATACATTTCACCAATTCCCTGGAATTTTAAAATCCCAGGCAACAAGACCTTTGTAATTGGAAAGAGCAGTTTCTCCATTAAATGATAGAAGAGAAAACAGAATAATTGCCAAAAATAATTAGTCCATTTGGCAGCATTCAATAAATTAGAAAAGATGGCCAGTTACTATATAAGAAGAATTTTGTTGGCTTTTAAAATAATTTAGATAAGGACTGTTAGAATCTAGCATAGGTTATCAAAGTGACTATAGCATCTACTTCTCTGAAGAAAAGACGGTAGCAGTAAATATTCTACTGATCGTTTAATTGCCCTGTAACTAAGCAGAAGACAGAATGAGATGATTGCTTGACACCTGTTCTAAATCTATGGAATTAAACACAGAATGTAAAACTTAATTCACATTGATTTTACTAATATACTATTAAATAACATTAAGTAATATATTAACTCTGGTAGTACATTAAATTTTATTTCTTTGATAAAGACTTCATGTTTTTACATTAAATATGATTTTTAACTTTTTAGAAGAAAAATTTAATCTTGGGTTTTTCCTCCCTCTAGTGGACATGTTGTTCTTTTTCATTTAATGGAAATGAAAGAAGATTAAGCCAACCACCCTTTTTTTTGTTACTTATTTTTAGTTTTCTGGAATAAAATAAAGAAAAATGGAAACCATAGCTCATAGCTAGAACAGTACACTTTATACTTATTTTTATCAATAATTTAATCCCAAGAAAATTTGAAGTTGTGTATAATTGAAGACATTTAATAGTTGGAAATAAAAAAGTCAAAAGCCTCTAGAAAGAGAAAGAAGAAAATAAACCACCTAAACTAACATAGTTACTGCAACCGACAATTAAATTATCTCCATATCTTCCCAACCCTTGTTACTGCCAGGTTTATTGGTTTTTGTTTGTTTGTTTAATAGCCATTCTAATGGGAGTGTAGTAATACCTCATCATAGTTTTTTTATTGAAACATAATTGATTATACAAATTTGGGGGTACAGAGTTGATGATCAGTATTTGTGTACAATATTTGTACTAGTTTTAATTTGCATTATTGTGATGACTAATGACACAGAGCAATTTTCTTATATGCTAATTGGCCATTTGGATTTCCTCTTTCGTGAGGTGCTTGTTTATCTTTCTTCATTTTCTTATTGGTTTGTGGGCCCTTTTCTTATTGATTTGTAGGAGTTCTTTATATATTCTGGATACTAGTCATTTTTTGGATATGTGACTTGCAAAAATGTTCTCAGAGTCTTTGGCTTGCCTTTTCACACTCCTAATGGAACTCTCATTCCCTGCTGCTAAGAGTGTCAATTGGTACAACCACTTTGGAGAACTGTTTTGGCAGTTTTTACCAAAGCTGAACATCAATATACCCTTTGGCACAGCAGTCCTAATACTAGGTATATACTTAAATGTATAATATGTACACCAAAACCATGTACCAGAATTCCCATGTTTGTAAATGCCCTAAGCTGGAAACAACCCAAAGTCCCACCAAAAATCAACGATAAAATGGTGATTTTAAGTAAGAGAATATAATTTTAATGATCTCTCATTAATCTATTGTTTTTCTTTATGATTATGATTTTTGTTTCCTATTTAAGAAATATGTGCCTACCCCAAGATAACAAAGATATTTTTTCATTGGTATCATCTAAAAGATTTAGTGTTTTATCTTAGCGCTATATTAAAAAGACCCCCCCCCACACACACACACACACACACTACACTGCAGTGATGCCTTGGTGTCATGTGACACCTTTTTCATATATCTGGTGATCATATATGCTTGGGCAAGTTTTTAAACTATTTTGTTCCATTGATTCATCTTCGCCCCAATACCATAGTTTTAACAATATTGCTTTATAGTATGTCTTAATATCTGGTAGTGTAAATATTCCAACTTTGTTCTTATTCTTCAGGGTGTTTTTGCTATTCTTGGCCCATTGCATGTAGTTTTCAATTTTAGTCTCCCCTTGCCAATTTCTATTTTTAAAGCAACCCTGATAAGATTCAGATTGAGAGTGCATTAAATTTATACATCAATTTGAATATTAGCATTATAATATTTAGTTACAATTCTTGAATATAATATATGTCTCCATTTATTTAGTTATTAATTAATTTTTCTCTGTCATGTTTTAGAGTATTCTGGTGGAGTTTGTATAAGTCCATTTTCTGTCGCTTATAACAGAATACCTGAAATTGGGTAATTTATAGGAAAATAAAATGTATTTCTTAGTTTCAAAGGCTGGGAAGTCCAAGGTTCAGGGGGACACATCTGGTGAGAGTCTTCTTCTTGGTGAGGACTCTCTGCAGAGTTCATGGGGGCTGGAGTGTACTAATGTGATTTCTTCCTCTCCTTATAAAACCACCAGTCTACTCCCATGACAGCCCATCAATCCATTAAACTATTGATCCATTAATCCATGAATAGATTAATCCACATGAGGGCATAGCTATCATGATCCAATTACATCTTAAAGACCCTACCTTTCAAATGTCATATTTGGGTTAAGCTTCAACAGGAGCTTTAAGGGAGACAAACATTCCAACTGTATCACAAGTACTTTCTCTATTTTAAAAGGTTTATTCTTATGTATTTGGTGGCTCTTGATGCTATAAATGTTATTGTTGTTTACATTTTATTTTCCATTGTTGTTGCTATATACAAAAGTAAAATTTATTTTTTTCTATTGACCATGTGTCCAGTGACCTGGATAACTGTCTGAATTCCAATACCTTATCTGTACATTCATTTGAATTTTCTATGTACATACCATGTTGATAGCTAATAATAACAGTTTGATTTCTTCCTTTTTATCTTTTTAATGCAATGAATTATGTAGTTTGATTTTCAGATGTTAACTTTGCATTCCTGTAACAGTTACAACTTGACCATGAAGTGTTATTCTTCTGGGTTATATTTGATAATATTTTGTTATATTTGAATTGATCTTCATGAGAAAGATTGACCTATAATTTTCCTTTGTAGTAATGTTCTTTCAGATTTTGATATAAAGATGAGTTGAGAAGAATTAGCACTTTTTTCTAACTCCTGGAGAAGTTTGGAAGAATTCACCGATGAGGCTTTAGGTTTTCTTTGTGGAATAGGTTTTAATTTTGAATTCAATATCTTTCATTGTAATATTTTTATAATTAGTTCTGTTAAAGATATATTTCTTCTGTCTATTTTGAAAAGTTGTTTTTTAAGTAATGTCACCATTTCATCTAAATTGTCAAATTTGCTAGCATGAGATTATTCAAAATGTCTTATTATCTTTTTAATGTCTTTAAGATCTTTAGGTACAGCTTTACTATTTCTGATACTGGTGAAACTAGTTTTAAAGAAATTTATTCTGTGAGAACTGACACAAACGACATTCACCATAGTGAAGAGCATCCTTAAAAATAGTTTCACTTAAAATTCAGAAATATTTCTTATTTGACTTTTTTTTCCATTAGTGCTT